CCGCCGCCGCCGCCTCCCGCAAAAACCGGAGCGCCGCCGCCCCCCCCGCCCCATCGCTCCCCTCCTCCCTTCCCTCCGCCGCTCCGGAGCCGCCACGCCGCCGCCATGGAGCTCATCACCATCCTGGAGAAGACGGTCTCGCCGGGTAAGGCCGCGCGGTTCGGGCCGTGCCGGGGGTGCGGCGCTCCCCGCTCCGTTCCCCTCCCCCCCTCCCCCGTTATTCTCCCCTCTTCGATTCCCGCTGACCGCCCCCCCTCCCCCCACAGACCGCTCGGAGCTGGAAGCGGCGCAGAAGTTCCTGGAGCAGGCGGCGATCGAGAACCTGGTGAGTTCCGTCGGTTCCTCCCAGCCGCGCCGCCGCCATCGCGGCCCCCCGCCCCCCCCTACACCCCCCCCCCCCCCCCCCCCCCCCCCCCCCCCGGTTCGGTTCCTCCCGCGCCCGCTCCGCTCGGCTCCAATGGCGGCGCTCCCGGCGGTGGCGGCGGCCAATGGGGGCGCGGCGGAGGGGAGCGGCCGGGCCACGTGCGGCCATCGCAGCGCCGGGGCCTTTCCGGGCGGGGCCGCGCGGTACCGAGGGTTGAAAATACGGCGATATCCGCCCATCCCGGAGCCGTGCGGCGAAGGGAGCGACTTGCGGCCATCCCGGTCATCTGGTGCTGCTGTTGCGTGGAGCTCCCGTTGTACCGGGGAGGGGATCTGCGATCCTGTAGAGTGGGGATGCGTTGGGCTGGGCTGTGCCGGGGGTCCCGGCGTTGGAGGACGTGGGGGTCGCATCCAGAGCTCTGGGGCTGCCGTTTTTGCCCCCCTTCCCCGTGTTTTCCTGCGGGAATTGACCTTAAAGCTCTGTTAAAACACTCCAGAGGGGGAAATGGGAAAGCTTTTGTGGAGCTGTAGGGTTTGAGGGCTGTTCCCTTAAAGGCAGCAGCAGCAACGTGTTCATTTCACCTCTGTTTCTCACCTTTAAGCCAGGCTCATCATATGAGATATCCCCCCCCACCGGGGGGCAGCCCTCCATAGGGGCTGTGCTCAGAGCTGGGACCCCTCAGATCCACCCCACTCCTCTCCCCTCCCCACAGCACTCCATCCTTCCTTGGGGAAGCATTCCCAATCCTCTCCTTTTGGAAGGCAGCGGGACAAAACCTCACAGAGCGCTGCGAAACATCGCATCTCCTCCTCCTGGAAACAAAGCTGACCCCTAAAAGCAGCAATTCCCGCTGCCCCCGGCTCTGTGTGCCCCTCGCATCCCATTGCGGGGAGCTGAGGGCTGTGCTGTGTGCAGCTGCATGGTGTTTATGTTTGGGGAAGGCAAGGCTTCTGACTGTTGTGCAGCTGTGCTGCCTAGGAAGGTTTCCTTGAGGGGCAGAGTACATCCTGCAGCTGGATCAGCGCTCAGGTTTTGCTGCTGGGGGTTCTGCAGCATCAACCCGCTGCGTGCTTATGGGGTTTCGGTGCCACGGGATCCAGGTGGTGCGGGTGCAGCAGCCCTCGCTTTGCCCACCTCCATCCCACGGGGAGGAGCGGAGCATCCATCGCTGTGCTGGGGTTTGGCCTCCAAGCAAGGGGACAAAATAACGCTGCTCCCCAGCGCTGGAGCCCTGCAGGTCGTTCAGGCGATGCTCGGCGCAGGGTTGAGCGGATGGAAGGCCGACGAAGCGCCGCCGTTCTGCGGGGGTCCGGTGGGGTCGGGCCGGGGGTCTCAGCGCCTTCCTCTCCTCCTCCCGCAGCCAACCTTCCTGGTGGAACTGTCCAGAGTGCTGGCCAACCCCGGCAACAGCCAGGTGGCGCGGGTGGCGGCCGGCCTGCAGATCAAGAACTCTCTCACCTCCAAGGACCCCGACATCAAGGCTCAGTACCAGCAGCGATGGCTCGCCATCGACGCCAACGCCCGCAGGGAGGTCAAGAACTACGTGAGTCCTTCCTTTTTTTTCCCCCGTTTGGTTTTGAGCCCGTTGGATTCTCTCGGGTTTGACGCCCTCCTTGCGTTGTGCCCAAGGTTTCTGGCTGCTCCTTCCTTCTCAAGGCAGCAGCGCCGTCTCGCTGTGCTTCCGTGCTCTGCTGTCATCTGTGGAAGCATTGGGGTGAAAACCAAGCAGGTGTGAGGCTGCTGCTTTTCCATTTGCTTTGTGCAAGTGCTCCTACAGCCAGATCTCTGAATGGCCGCTGCTGGAGCAGTGGGCACAGCTTCCCTGCTCAGTGGCTTCTGCTGGCTTTCTCCATCCAGGAGAACTGGATGAGATGGAGAACTTCAACTGCCCTCCAGTCCCTTGTGAGCGCCTTTGAGCTGTGCTCTGTGTGAGCCTGCATCTGCCCAGGGCCTGGTGGACTTGGAGTTGGTGGGATGTGCTCATGAACAGGTCTGGAAAGGGCAAACCTCTCTGGGGTACTGTTTTTGCCCAGGGGCCAGGATCCACTTGGTGGGTAATGCAGAGGAATGGGGATGTTCAATGTGTCCCACAAGGGGACTTGATGCCGGGGGAGTGCAGTTGGCAAATCCCAAGCAGGGAGCAGCATCCTGCTGTCTGTGATGGCAGGGCTCTGCCTGAGGACCCCTGAGCAAATTGGGGGTAAAACCCCAGGGCTGGCAGTGACACAGGTGGTGCCTGAGGTCTTTCGCCTGATGGGAGCACAGGCGTGCAGGGCTGTGTGGCTCTGTGTGGAGCTGATGCAAGTTTTATGCTTCATATATTGGCTTTCTCTTAATAGAGGGATCTGAGTCTGTCTCTAGCAGGGTAAGGTCGGGTCATCAATGCAGCTTTGTGGCACTGATGAAGGAAAAAGTGGAATCTTGGCTCCTGTTGGCAGTGTAAGCTGTGGTGTTGTGTCTCGAAGCTCACAGCTTTGGATGGCTGCTTTGGTGTCAAACTGAAGCAGAATCCTTTCTGTCTGATCCAGCTGACACGTTTGGTGCTTAGCAGTTCCCCATGCTGGGTTTCTCCTCCAGCTCTGGGCTGCCCATTATTTCCATTGCTGCATTGAGTGCCCCATGGATGAGGGTTGATGTGGGGTCGGTGGGGTCCCCGTGAGGCTGTTTGGGGTCTGATGCCAAAGCCCTTCATCTGGGAAGGATTTGGGGAGGGGGGTTGTGAGCAGTTTGGGAGAAGCCGAGTAATGGGGAGGGATGGCATTTCTTGGTGAGTGTTTGGGAAGGGGAGGGGTGTGCCTGGATGCTCTGAACGCAGCGCCCCTCCCTTGTTAATTCTGAGAAACTGTTACATAAGCATGCAAAGAAAAAAAAGGAAAGAAAGTCTTCTGATGGACTGCAGGTCATCAGAACAGAATGAAGTCGTTCCATTTCTTTTCGTCTTGATGTGAGCAGCCTGCAGTTCGGGGTGATTTCAGGGTGCAGTCGGTTCACTTTCGTAGCTCTGTTCCATGGCCGTAGAGGAGGGGGGGAGATGGGCTGCTGTGTGTGGATGTCAGTGGGAAAAAGCTCCTCACTGTGAGAGTGGTGGGGTGCTGGAAGAGCTGCCCACAGATCTGGGTGCCCCATCCTGGAGGTGCGGAGGCCGGATCTGGATGGGCTGTGGGCAGCCTGTGGTGTTGGATATGAGGTTGTGATATGAGGGCTGATGGCCCTGCTGTTGGCACAGGGCTTGGAGCTCCGTGATCCTCGAGGTCCCTTCCAACCCAGGCTGTTGTGTGACGTGGCAGCAGTGCCACAGCCACCGCCTGCTTCCCGGAGGGGCAACCGTGGCCAGGTTGAGAGCTGAGACGAGGAGCAGCTTGGAGGAAGGCTTTGTGACATATCTGCAGTGCCACAAACCGAGCTGGGAGAGCACAGTGCCCCCACACAGACCCAAACCCTGCTTTGTGCCCCCCCCCAGGTCCTGCAGACGTTGGGCACAGAGACGTACCGACCCAGCTCTGCCTCGCAGTGCGTGGCCGGCATCGCCTGCGCCGAGATCCCCATGAACCAATGGCCTGAACTCATCCCCCAGCTGGTGGCCAACGTCACCAACCAGCACAGCACCGAGCACATGAAGGAGTCCACGCTGGAGGCCATCGGGTACATCTGCCAGGATATCGTGAGTACCCCAAAGTCACAGCTGACCTCTCCCAGCCGCGCGGCTCCTCTGCTGTTGGTGGCGCCTCTGTGAGCCGCCCTGCACCCTTTCCTTTCCCTGCAGGATCTCCCTGCTGGCAGCAAACGCACACAAATGCTGTCTGAAGGAGCTGAGCTGCTTCTGCAGCACAAATTAGAGCCAGGGGGAACGGTTTCAAGCTACGGCAGGGGAGATTCAGGCTGGACGTGAGGAAGTCGTGCTGCGTGATGTGGTTTAGTACTGGTGGTGGTGGTGATGAGGAGATGGTTGGACTGGATGATCTTACAGGTCGCTTCCAACCTTGTGATTCTATGATTCTATGAAGTATTGCTTTTCTTCAGAAAGGTGGTCAGGGGCTGCAATGGATGCCCAGGGAGGTGGTGGAGTCACCGACTCCAAGGAAAGGCTGGATGCTGTGTTGAGGGATGTGGTTTGGTGGGGAGCTGTTGATAACAGATGAATGGTTGGACTGGATGAGCTTTGAGGTCTTTTCCAACCTTGGTGATTCTATGAATCCAGGGCTCCTTTCCTCTCTGTGTGCAGCTGTAGGGTGGGAGGGTGCTGGTGGGGAGCCGCAGCTTGTGAGCCTTGCAGGTGAGTGGGGAGCTTTGGGTTCCTCCACGTGGCTGAGGAATGGCTGACCTCCTTCCTCTCATCAAGGCCTCTCTTTATCCTCGTGGAAGGTTTTGATGCAGGAATGGGGATCTTTTGCTCTCTGGGGTTCCTCCTGGTTTTAGTCAGTATTACTGGCAGCATCACCAATAACACAGACTGCAAAAGCCCTGTGCTGTCGGGGCTCCTGCTGGAAAACAAAACTGGCTGCAGTGCTTTCGGTGCTGCTGAACGCTTGCAGTGTGGGGAAGCAGGAAGAGGAAACCTATTTGTGAGGCTGCAGGGGGCTGCTTTGCTCTCGAGTGTGTTTGGTTGTAGCCAAATCCATGGCCTCCTGTGGCAGCAGGGCATGGAGGAGGAGGGATGGAAGCAGCACAGAGCTCTTCTGGGGGGGAAAGGGGCCGTGGGTGAAGTGAGGAGCAGCAGGAGGGATGGAGGGCAGGTAGGAGGGAAATGGGCAGGGTGGGGTGTGAGAGAGGGCTGGGGTCTCCCCTGTTTGCAGCCTGCTGCTCCCAGTGAACAGAAGCTGCCTTGGCTTTCGTGTCTTACAGTTTCTGCTCATAGAATTCAAACTTGGGCTGTGCTTTGAATTATGGAGGCAGCTGTTTAACTGATGCGACTATCAATGGTGCTTTTAGGAACCAGAGCAACTTCAAGACAAATCCAACGAGATCCTGACAGCCATCATCCAGGGAATGAGAAAGGAAGAGCCCAGCAACAATGTGAAGCTAGCAGCTACTAACGCACTCCTGAACTCTTTGGAATTCACCAAAGCAAATTTCGACAAAGAGGTAAAAGGGGGGAATGGTAACAAAATGCAAGGACAGAATCCATGGTCTGTGATGAGAAATCATGCACCACGCTGAGTTTTGATGCATAACCCCATTGCCTCTGAGACTTGGATTCGTTCCCACGCAGCCAGGCTGTGATGCAGGAATGCTGTGGAAGTTTTTTCACAGATTGGCCAATGGAAAAAGAGGCGTTGCTGAGTTTTGGGGATGAATCTGACCTGACTTTGGGCTGTTAAATCTGCTTCCTAATCCAACTCTGCTCTGTAATGCTGCTGTTACCCGCTTGGATCAGCGCTTTCTTTCGAGCTGCATGGCAGCAATCCAGTGTGTGCTGCCTCTGGGGATGGCTGGGGGGGGAAGGCCTGCAAGCCTTCCAAACAGGGGCATCCACTGTGGGGTGGTTGTTTTCTTCCCTTTCTTTGGATGAGGGATGGACCTTAGGACCCTACTGGGGCTGTATGGGAAGATGGAATGAAGATGGAACCCTCAGCTTAGGAAGTCATTTAATGGAAACCTTTCCCAGGCTCAGTCCTGCAGATGGGGATCAGCTTCACAAAATTGTCTGCTGGGCTTTTGTGTGTTGGGCAGCTGCCTCAGCACTGCTCACAGTGGATCTGTGGGGAAGAAGGGCTTCCCAGTCCTGCATTGAATGCTGACCTGGACATCTGTAGAAGTGTTGTATGAGGGATGGTGGTGATCCAGGCTCCAAAATGAATTCTCCACGGGAAGGCTTGCAAAGTTTTCAGAGCTTTTGCCATCTAACGTTCTTTCCTTTCTTCTTCAGTCTGAAAGGCACTTTATTATGCAAGTAGTCTGTGAAGCAACGCAGTGTCCAGATACGAGGGTGAGTGGAAACTGAAGGATGTGGTGCTGATTTTTGTCACTGTTCCACCCTTGGGAGGCTGAACAGAACTGGTGGCATCGTTAACCAGCAGCAGTGAGAGTGGGCTGCCAAAAAGCGGATGGCTGTGCAAGCTGTCCAGTGTTAGGAGCAGTCAGCTGCTGAAGGGGATTGAAGCTGCAGAGAGTAAATGGAACAGGAATGGAGTAAATGGAGCGGGTGGAAGGGCTGGGATGCTGGGCCTGGGGGGCCAGAGCTGCATTTGTTTCTCTGGGGGCTGTGCTCAACGTCCCACCTTGGGTCCCTGCTGTGCCCTGCAGGTACGAGTGGCTGCCTTACAGAACCTGGTGAAGATCATGTCCCTTTATTACCAGTACATGGAGACGTACATGGGTCCTGCACTTTTTGCTGTGAGTACTGGCACTTCTTGTACAGAGGCACCTGAACCCCACCTGCGCTGCTTTGTCTTCGTCTGGGAGGGAATATTTGCTTACGTCCTTGCTTTGTTTTTCACTGGCTGTGTTCATGTGCTGCCAAAACCCCCTAAAGCCAATGCTGAGACCCCCAAGCGTGGGGCAGCACAGGCTGCTGGGTTTGCTCAGCAGCTCTGCCTGGGTAGCTGATGGCAGGAGCTGCTGTGGCAGCTGATTTCAGGTGATCTGGGCTGTGTGTTGGAGGAGAAATCGTGCTAAAAACCTTCTTCTCTCCCCTCCTCTCTTTCTTGTTCCCCAAGATAACTATTGAAGCGATGAAAAGTGACATAGATGAGGTGGCTCTACAGGGCATCGAGTTCTGGTCCAATGTGTGTGATGAGGAGATGGATCTGGCTATCGAGGCGTCAGAGGTGAGCTTGCAGACACCTGTGCTGTTGTCCTTGGGAGCGCTGCAGTCGTGATTTACCCACGTCTGGAAGTCCTGCTGTTCTCTGTAGCTCCTGCTATTGAATGAGGAGCCCCCCGAGCTCCTCGTGTGCAGCCCTGGTCTGTGATGAGACATCATGCACCACTCTGATGCTCTGTGATGCATGACTGATAGAAGCTGAGACCTGGGGCTGCACAGGGCCCACGAGGCGCGTTGGCTCTGCAGAGAGCAGCTTGGCTTTGAGCTGCTGGTTTGATTCTCCCCCAGCACTCAGCTGGGATGGATTTGTTCTGCTGCTGAAGGTAAATGTGAAGCTTGGAGTTCAAGCTGCACAGGGGCTGCTGACCGTAACCCCCTTCCATAACTCCTTGCTTTCAGTGCAGCTCGAATGCAACCTGTCCTGCTTCCCAGATCAGATGAGGACGTGCTGCCCTTTTTAACCAACCAAAAGGTTTTCCTGCCAACCTGGCTGGGAATCAGAGCAACTTGAGATAAAGATTTCCTGACAGCTTTGATGAGAATGCGCTGTGACAGAGAGGTGCTGGTTTCCTGAAGATGGCACATGGCAGCTCCCTGATTTCTCTTTAGCATTCCAGAGTCGAGTTGAGCTCCTGTCAGGTTCACCTGAACGCACACGAAGCCTTTATAGCAGCACTGGGAAATTCCCATTGCCCTGAATTTCTTGGAGCTGTTGCTTTGTGAAGGTGGCATCTGGAGCTGCTGCAATGTGTTCTGTGTTGGAGGCAGAGCGTTTCTGGGCTTCCCCACTGCCTGCTGGGCTCTGTGTTTATGGGCTTCATTCCTGAGCTCTGTTAAAGGCACGGCAGCGTTGTCCTGTTGTGAGGTGGAAAAGATGGACTGCATTCTGTGTGATACATGATTCCTGAGTTAAGCACAAAATAATGGGATGGAAGGAATGATTCCCCTCTGTGGTGGATGGGCTGGGGGTGGATTTGGGGTGCTGCTCCCCGTGCAGATGCCGTTTGCATGAATTAGTGGCACAGATCAATAAGAGCTTAAACTTCGGAGGCCTCCAGATGAATCATATCCATCTTTAAAAGCAGCTAAATATACATTTGTGTTGCCTGCCCAAAATAGCAAGGATAAAAGGACAGTCAGCATGAAGGTTCAGCTCGTGTGCAGAAGGACCTCTTGCTTTTCCTGCTTGGGGTCACTCGTTAACGATACACAACTGAAAGTATTTCTGTCTGTGCCGTGTGAGGAGAGGCCCTTTGTGTGCATGGAATGGCACTGGGTGCAGTGCAGGCTGTCCTTGAGGTTCCTGCATGCTGCTGTGCTGGGAAGCAGGGGGGAAGCATGCAGAAGTGAGTATCTGCTGGCTGAGGGTTGTGCTCTGTGCTTCCTTACAGGCAGCAGAGCAGGGGAGGCCTCCAGAGCACACGAGCAAATTTTATGCTAAGGGAGCCCTGCAGTATTTGGTCCCGATTCTGACGCAGACGTTGACAAAACAGGTGAGTTGCCAAAGGCCTGCTGTGTATCCAGAGGGGGGGAAGGAAAAGAAAGCAAGCAACCAACAGAATGAAAGCACTGCTGTGTTCAGTTCCACGCCGTGGGACAGCAGTGCTGCTCCTGCACATGGCAGCAGTCAGCAGTACGGCTGTGTTTGTGGGCTCTGAAGAGGTTCCTGTCATTCTCTGTGTTCCTCCTGAGTAAAACAAACATTTCAGTCTGCATCGGTGCAGATTCAGAGTCTGGAATTCCTGAGCTCTGCATCCTCAGCTCTGAGGTCCCTGTTTGTTTATGAGGTGCTGAGGGCTGTGCTGGGCCTTGTTTGTACTCTGTTCCACGGCCTGATACACATTAATGGAGTCACTTGCTGCAGCAGGCCTAATCATGACATAAACCCGTTAATTGAGCTGTACAGGACGGAGTTTTGGCTCACTGTGATGAAACAGGGAAGTGCTGTGAAAATGTTCTCAGTGAAAGCAGTTTCCCTGTTTATTACCATCTGCTGGGGTGCAGAGGGTTGCATTGCAGAAGGGTTACATTGCAATTGATGGTTAAAACAGGAAGGAGAAAGCACGTAACCTGGGCTGCCTCTCACTTCCAGACCTGAGTCGGCCCCCCAATGTGACACCTGGCAACAGGGCAGTGCTGCCTGCATTGCCTGTGAGTGGGGAGGGATGTTTTTGCCCAGGCTGATGGTTGCTGTCCTCCTCCTAGGATGAAAATGATGACGATGATGACTGGAACCCCTGTAAAGCAGCAGGAGTCTGCCTCATGCTCCTGGCCACCTGCTGTGAAGATGACATCGTTCCTCACGTGCTGCCCTTCATTAAGGAACACATCAAAAATCCAGACTGGCGATACAGGGATGCAGCTGTGATGGCTTTTGGGTGCATTTTGGAAGGACCAGAGCCTAACCAGCTCAAACCACTAGTTATACAGGTGGGACTGCAAGGCTTGTGAGCAAAACCTTTCATGTATTTGAAGGAGAATTCGTGTTTTGTGTTGTTCTTAGTCTGGGAAGGTGCTGAAGGCTGGCTGCTTTACGTATCATAGAGTGGCCTGGGTTGAAAAGGACCACGATGCTCATCTGGTTGCAGCCCCATTGCTGTGTGCAGGGTCACCAACCACCAGACCAGGCTGCCCAGAGCCACATCCAGCCTGGAACATCACCGTGTTTGAGGAAGGTGTGGATGACAGCAGGGCAGGAGTTGGGTTACAATTGAATTCTCTTTCAGGCAATGCCGACTTTGATAGAGCTGATGAAGGATCCCAGCGTTGTGGTTCGAGACACGGCAGCCTGGACCGTGGGCAGGATCTGTGAGATGCTCCCTGAGGCAGCCATCAATGACATTTACCTGGCCCCGCTGCTGCAGTGTCTGATCGAGGGCCTGAGCGCTGAGCCCCGGGTGGCCTCCAACGTGTGCTGGGTAAGGCAGAGCTTTGCTTTTGCTGCTGAGGAGTTTCTGTGAGCGAAGGGAAGCAGCTGATGCTGGTGTGCAGGCGCACAGGTTGATGCCTGCACGTGGCTGGCAGAGATGGCTGTTGACTTGGGCAGGCAGCAAACGGCTCTTGTGGTCATCTCCAGCCTGTTGTGTGGCTCTGATAGGCAAAACAAGGGAAGAAAAGTGTTTTTTCAAGTAGAAAAATTGTGATATTAGCAAGTGTAAAACTGCCTGAAGCTTGAAAGTGTTGTGGAAGCTGTCTCTACGCACCATTAACGTGTGATTGAATTCCAGACATGCTGGGCCTTAGTGTTTGCTTGGGACAGCTGAATTGCCCCTTCATTCTTAGGGAAACACGAACTCCCTTGCTTCCCATCACCTAAGCTCACATCAGAAGCAGTTTCAGAACTGATTTGAGCAGCATGAAGTTTTCTCTTCCCTGGGGTGAATTTGCCAACTTCAGCTGTGTCATCTTGGTGGGTCTGTGCTACCGAATGGCACCGCTGTCCTCCCCCCTCAAAGAGTCCCTGCTTTCAGTAGGAATTGAGCTGCAGGTCAGAACAGCCCTCAGAACTGATAGGAGCCGCTCTCCTGGTGTTGCAGAGGTTTGAAGGCTTCAGGTCAGCATGGGAACTTCTCCCTGCCCTGCTGCTCCTGGCAGAAATCCACGTAGCTGTGGCTGTTGTTGGGAAGATGGTGGTCAGTGTCTTTAGGTGGCAGCGACAGCAAGGGGTCTTTCAGCCTTTTCTCATCCCCCCCCATCTCAGAGCTGTTACCATCAGTCTGCAGCCTTTTCTAAGCTGGGATTTCAACTTGTGATGAGAGCAGGTCCTGTCTGTGTGCCCAGCACCCACAGCTCAGCCAATCTGCCTCTGTTGGGTTGCTGGGGCCAGCAGCAGCATGCGGGCTGTGTGTGTGACTTCTGTTACGTTTCACATCTCCCACATCCTCACCTCTCCTGCACCAAAGCTGAGGATCCTGAGCAACGATGGGCTCACAGGGGAGCTAGCCCTTAGAAATTAGCCCTGCACTTCATTTGGCTGGGATGTTTCTGGATGTGTGAAGTCATGGGGTAACAGGAATGGTTGTTCTGTGTTCCAGGCCTTCACGAGTCTTGCTGAAGCTGCCTATGAGGCTGCAGATGTAGCTGACGATCAGGAAGAACCAGCAACCTACTGCTTATCCTCTTCATTTGAGCTTATAGTTCAGAAACTTCTGGAGACCACAGATAGGTAACGTTCACCCTGCTGGCCTGAGTGCTCAGAGATGCCTTTTCTTTGGGCTTTTCTACCCCTTCTCCTTAAGGCTTTGGTCTTCCTTCTCTTGCAGCGTAGATCTGAATGATGCTTTGTAAGAACTGGGCTTTCTGGCATGGTGTCTTATTCCAAACGAAGCTGAAATATAAATAGACGAGGCAAAATGTTTTCTCAATTCTGCAGATGCAAAAGTAAGGCTCGTGCTGAAGCCCTGTTCTGCTTTTAAGGTCACGTCAAGGATTTTGACAGCTCTGCAGTTCAGCTTTTGGGTCAGTTTCGATCCCTTTGCAGGTGAAGCTCTTCAATGGGTTCCTGTCCGAGCAGTTTGGGCTCTGAGCTGGCTCTGTATCTCCTTCAGTTCCACCCAGCAGTGTGGGGTCTGCCTCAGGGCTCTGAGATCCATCTCAGCACAGATCTCAGCTGCTCTCCCTCCCTGGTGGCTCTGAGGGATGCTGGCAGGTTCCATGGGCATCCTGACACCATTCCTTCCCAGGCAGGGTCACAGCACTCAGCAGCCGTGTGGCTTTGAGCTGTTTGCTGCTCCTGGACTCGCTGTCTGTCTGAAGATATTTGCAAGTCGTAATTAATAGCAAATTAACAAAAAAAAGTTCCAGTAACGGCTCTGCAAATCTCACTTTGAAATCTTGCAATAGAGGGAGCCTCATTGCAGCACTGAAATTTAAGCTCTTACCAATCTACTAAGAATAATTAAAAAAAAAACAGTGTTTCTAAGCATGCTGGGAGCTGCAAATAAATACATTTCCTTCTGTTCCAGGCCTGATGGACACCAGAACAACTTGAGGAGCTCTGCATACGAAGCTCTGATGGAAATAGTGAAGAACAGTGCCAAGGACTGTTACCCTGCTGTGCAGAAGACAACGTTGGTCATCATGGAGCGGCTTCAGCAAGTGCTGCAGATGGAGGTGGGAGGCCGGGGGGCTTTGAGGCCTGGTGTGGCTGTTGCTGGCTGTGTGTCTCCTGGCATCACGGGTTCTGGGTTCTTAGGGGCAGGCTGGGTGCATGAAGTGCCTCTCTCATCTCAGATTGGAAAGAGCAGGCATTGAAAAATGGATTTCCTGCCATTCGTGCTGCTGCTGAGATCTGCTGGGTTTGCGTGGACCATGAGGGCAGCGTTGTATATTTGGGGTTCTGTTCTTTTCTTTCAGTCTCATATCCAGAGCACTTCAGACAGAATCCAGTTCAATGATCTTCAGTCTCTTCTCTGCGCCACTCTCCAGGTGAGTGCATGAAGCTCCTGCTTTGTGGTTGTGGGGAGGAGGTTTGGGGGTGGGTTGGAGGTCGGCTCCTACATTGGCTTCGGGGTGAACAAATTGCTCTGCTTGGCACCAGCAAAAAGCTCTGCAACAGATTTAATTTGTTCATCTGCCTCTTGTGGTTGGTGTTCTTATTTAAAACGGCGCTAATTAAAATGCACTGAGTGTCCTTGAAATTAAACATCTGGTAATGAACACCCACGTGGCTCGGAGCGCCGGCACACTTCAGCTCCTCTCCCCTTCTTACCAAGTGCACTGAACACAGCCACCCTTCTCCCCAAATCTCCACCAGGTCGTCCTGCTGAAGCACAGGGTGCCCAGGGTTGGAGCTTTGCTGTTGAGCTCTGCAGGAAGGTGGGGTGGAGTGGGAGCCCTCTGCCTATGGAGCCTTTTCTTTTGGCACCTCTTGTGCCTCTGCTTCCTTCTGGAGGTCACAGGTGTGGGATCGACCTGCTAGCTTTAATTTGCAAACAGTTTTCTTCGTTATCACAGCAGCTGAGCCTCGAGATGCTTAATGCCACGCAGCAGAAATGAACAGGAATAAAGCACCGTCCTGCTGCGTGGTTTTTCCAACAGGAGAAATAGTTACAAACGTCCACCAGGAGGGAGGAGAAACTGATAATAATGGAGAGCAGTGGGGAAAACTGAGGCCTGCTGTTGGAACTGCCCAACTCAGTGTCTTTGATTTTTCCTGATAGAGCTGCTCTGGTCTTGAGATGAATGCTTTGCTCTGCGCTGTTTGTAGGTGAGGTTGCTTTTTGCTCACCCCAGAGGCGTTCAGCTGCAGTTGGCTGTAAAGATGTGCTGTGCCTTGGATTAACAACCAGCATCTCTGAGATGTGTTTGTGTGGTGCAGAAGCAGCTTCCATGCCACTTGTGATGGGCAGCAGGACATCATTGTGGCACTGCTGTGATTTGAGAGGGGCTTTTTTATCTTAATGCAGGGCCAAATTTGGGCTGGCCAGCTTACAAAAGGAAACCTGCAGAACAGCCTATGCAGCAGGAACAGTAAATTCAGCTTGTTCTGTAGCTGGGAAACGGAGAGCAGCTCAAAACGGACGGGACTTTGCTCTCACACTGACAAAGCATATTCCTGCAGCAGCACAATTCCAACAGCAGCTTTGCTTTCAGCAGCTCAGCGCGCTCCGAAGCGTTCAGGGAGGTGGAGGCTGAATTCAGCTGGGCGTGCATGGAAGCACTGATGGTCTTTTTCTCTCTCTTCCCCTTTCCTGCTTTTAGAACGTCCTGAGGAAGGTGCAGCACCAGGATGCCCTGCAGATCTCAGACGTGGTGATGGCATCTCTGCTGAGGATGTTCCAGAGCACGGCGGGCTCAGGGGGGGTGCAGGAGGATGCCCTGATGGCGGTCAGCACCCTGGTGGAAGGTTGGTGCTGGGCTCAGGCAGCAGGGCTGGGTGCTCCCTGCTCTCACTGACCCTGCAGTGCCCCATAAACCCCCCCTGCTCAGTTCCTGCTTTTCCTCAAGGTGTGCTTTTGACAGCGCAGTTCGCCGCATCTGTCACCGAAGCCCTGAGTCTGCTGGATTATTCTGGGCTGTGTTTCTTGAATGAATAGCTCGTTTTCTGTTAATAACGTGGTTACAATGCAAATTCTGCCAGGAGAAAGGAGGAGCTGTGCTGTGTGCAGTGCTGAGCATAATGGGAACCTGCTGCCTTCCAGGGCTGAGCTTATCTGAGTGATTCACGCTCGCTGCTGCTGCTGCCTGAGCCCCTGTTGCTGCTTTGGGATGTTTTCTCAATGGTCCATTTGAAGTCATTGTTCTCGTTTCAAAGAAATCACAGTGGTGATGGTCAGCATTACAGTGAGTCAGAGGTGCTGACATGGAATAAAGTGGGGTTGTGGCAGCCTGGGCAGAGTGAGCTGATGTTCAGAAGTTGTGCTGGAGCTCGGAGGGGGATGCAGCACTGTGTGGAAGCAGAGGAGCTGCTGAAAGCCTGGATGTGCCCACACTGCCTGCGGCTTCTCCAGGAAAAGCCACTGCCTGTTGCAGTGGGAACACGGGGCAGCCTGCAGGCACAGCAGTGCTGGGTTTGTAATGCAGGAGCTGCTGCTTCCCCGTGCTGCAGGCAGCAGGTCTGTGCCCTCAGCCCTCTGCAGAGCCTGCTGCTGGGTTTGCCTGAGGCTCTGGGAAGCGAATGGGAAAATTCAGAGGGAGCAGTGCTGACTGAGCAAGGGGCAGAAGGGAAACCTGTCCTGAGCCACGGAGCTTTTTGCTTTGGGCAGATACAGCTGTGTGATCCTAGCGACACAGTGGTGTGGGGAAGGTAGGAGAGAAAGAGCGGGCTTTGAGGCGTGAAGGAAAGGTTTGCCTTGAGTTCTTGAATCTTGCTGGAAGACAAACATCCTAAGGAAGGCCCTGCGTGAACCAGGCAGCTCTGAATGAAGAGGTGGAGCACCTGTCTCCAAAAGAAAGGCATTGCAGCTATAGCAGAGCGGTGTGGGGAGGCTCAGAGCTTTTGGATGATGCAGAGCTCCGCAGGGTCAGTTGGGCAGGGAGCACTCAGCATCCTTCTGAGTGTGGGGAAGGGGCTGGTTGTCTTCAGAAGCCCCGAAGGACAGAGTTCTCAGAATCATTTCAGTCCCTGTGTAGGAGCTTCAGCAGCGTTCAGCTTTTGTGTGGTGGCTGCTGGAGATATGGTGTGCTGTGCTCCTGTGCACAGTGCAGGCTCTCGTTTTAGGTGGAGGATAAGGGTGGGTTTCTGTTCTGTTGAGTTCCATCAAATACAGGGCAGGTCGGGGTTCTTCTCTCTAACAAGAATGTTTTTCCATGCAGTCTTAGGTGGAGAGTTCCTGAAGTACATGGATGCCTTCAAACCGTTCCTTGGCATTGGACTGAAGAACTATGCTGAATACCAGGTAGAGTCAAAGCAGGGCTGCCCTGCACTTGCAGTCTCCCAATCTGCTCTCAGGTGCTGAGTTCAGCATCTGTAAAGCATCGCAGCTCTTGGTGGTGAAGTGAAAACGGAGTCCTGTGGATTTCTCTCTAATTACTGGCCTCACATGCAGATTTAGGCTCTCTTAATTCAGCAGAAGGCCTCCGTTGACTTTACACCTGCATTTTGGCAGTGGTGGCACAGGAGTTGCTCTTGATGGGGGGGAAGTGGTTGCTGCCAGCTGTGAACTTCCAGCAGAAGCTGGGCAGCATCGGTTCACATTGGTGGCACTGGGGCCTCCTGCCCTCCCCGCTGGCGATGCGTGCTCAGCTCCTCACAGCTCGATGTAAAAGGCTAATAACATTAAAAGAGGCTCATCAGCCGTTAGGAGGGTTGTTAGTGTCGGTGACACAGAGTGTCACCACTGCTCAGAGCTTTAATTGAATGAGCTGGCGCCGTGAGGACGGAGAGTGGAAGCCTGACTCAGCGGTGGGTGTCTGACTTGCTGTTCTATTTGCAGGTCTGTCTGGCTGCAGTGGGCCTGGTTGGTGACTTATGCAGAGCCCTGCAATCCAACATCTTGCCTTTCTGTGACGAGGTTATGCAGCTGCTCTTGGAGAACTTGGGGGTGAGTGTTTACCTCCTCATTAGTGGTTAGTAACAGTTGGCTTGCACGCTGAGGAAAAAGTGGGAGGTGGGAGAAGCTGAAGTGCTAGGCGTGCTCTGAAGATCTCGTGTTTGACAACTGTGTCACTTAGAGCTTGAATGGGATCCAACTGTGTCGAGGATAAGGATTTGCATCTCCAGAGAAGGTCGTGCTTCATTAGCTCCTCCGATTAGGGAGGTGCAGCCGAACGTAACGCTGCTGAAATCTGTTCCAGAATGAAAACGTTCACAGGTCTGTGAAGCCACAGATCCTCTCTGTGTTCGGAGACATCGCCCTCGCCATCGGAGGAGAGTTCAAGAAGTACCTGGATGTTGTGCTCAACACCCTCCAGCAGGCTTCCCAGGCCCAGGTGGACAAGGTGAGGCGGCTCTGCTGGGTGGTGGAGCTCATAGGTGAGTGAGCAGTGGGTGCTGAGGGCGCTGCTGACACGGTGCTCTGCTGCCTTCCAGTCCGACTACGATATGGTGGATTACCTGAATGAGCTGAGGGAGGGCTGCCTGGAAGCTTACACGGGCATCATTCAGGGATTGAAGGGAGACCAAGAAAACGTGCACCGTGAGTACGAGTGGTGGCTGCTTTATTGTGTGTGTGTGGTTGGAATGATGGAGGGAGGTGGGAGAGCCTGCTTGGACGGGGCTCCTGTTGCAGTAGTTGTCACAGCCATGGGCACAGCTTTGTTAATTCACTGCTGTGTGGCAGAGAGTGCTCGGTTCCTGTGTAGGGAATGAGCTTAGAGCCGTTCTTCATGGTGGTTCTTCCTCCTTTGGCATTTTGTGCTCCTTCCCTGGCTGAGGGCTCGGGGTTTGGCTGTCCAGGAGCACACAGGAAGGCCTTGCAAGAGGCAGAAGTTAAACACGAGCTGTGTTTCACCCTGCTGTAACGAGGCTCTTTTCTTTCAGCGGATGTGATGCTGGTGCAGCCCAGAGTAGAATTTATTCTGTCTTACATTGACCACATTGCTGGAGATGAGGATCATACGGACGTAGTAGTGGCGTGTTCTGCTGGACTGATAGGGTGAGCATCCTGATCCTGCGTGGACACTGACAGCGTGTTTGTGAGACAGGATTCTGTGCATCAGATGCATCTGAAGCTGCATTGTTATGGCTGAAGTGTTTTGTCACCGGTTCTGGGTCTTTCAGTTTGAAAAGGTGTAAAGCAGGCAGCATAAACGAGGTCCTTAATTGGGAGGGTGAGAAGCAGCAGTAGTGACGAGCGGTGCGTGTTGCAGAAGTTCAGATGTAGGATCTGTCAGGGATGAGCTGCCTTTAAAAGCAAAGCACCCAAAAACCCTCGGGTGTGGAGCAGCTCAGGGCTGAATTTAGGTGGAATGGAAGCATGGAGGAGATCAGTGTTGGGATGGGAGGTTGAGTGTCTCCATTTAGCCACAGTTAAGAGGAGGAAGGAGGAGGTCCTCAGCAAGGAGCGACCTGTGCAGCCTTTCCTAAAGGCCCTGAGCTGTGAGCCAGGTTTCTTCCAGCTCGCGAGAGCCGATCAGAGCAGTGTTGGCACACTTGTGGTGCTCAGCCTCAAAGCCTCTCTTGCTTCTTCAGGGATTTGTGTACAGCGTTTGGGAAAGATGTACTGAAATTAGTAGAAGCTAGACCCATGATACATGAACTGCTAACTGAAGGGAGAAGATCCAAGACGAACAAAACGAAAACCCTCGCTACCTGGGCGACTAAAGAACTGAGAAAACTGAAGAATCAAGCTTGGTAAGGGCAACACCCCCCTTCCTTTTCATGTTGCATAATCACAAAATTGGCTGGACTCCTGAGCCTGAATGAGATGCTGCACCAAAGCCTTGTTCTCGGGAAGGTTGCTGTTAATTTATTGCCCTGTGAACAAACCCCGTCTGGGATCTTGGCACAGAGGGAGCGAATGCAAGCAGGAAAATGGTGAACTGAAGTTGGGAGGAGAGCAGCCACAGGCTTGAGGGCTCCTTGGGTTGTGAGATGTGTCCTGGCTGAGCTGCAGCAGCCCCAGGGGTGGCAGATGAGCTCTGTGAGCTCTGCAGCACTGCTGAGCACCTTCAGAAGGAGCGGGTTGTTATTGCATTACTGCAATACATTGGGACTGCATTACAGCTGTTGAGTCGTTTGCTGTGTGCCTGCGCTCTGTGCAGCTCTGCTGGAACGGCTGCGTTCAAGAGGCGCCTGGCTGAGGAGCTGCAAGATGTGGTTTAGTGCTGGTGGTACTGATAGGAACGGGAGGGGGGTTGGGCTGGGTGATCTTGCAGGTCGTTTCCAACCTTGTGAGTCTGTGGTGTCTCGTTGGCCTGGATGCAGACTTGGAACACGTTTGGTCTGATTCTCAATGGCGCTTTTCTGCTTGCAGATCTGTTACTGCTGGGATGACACCTGAGACCCCCACTGGAAATCCTCCAATCTTTTTGAAGAAGAAAAAAAAAGAAAAAAAAAAAAAAAGAAGAGAAAAAAAAACAAAACAAAACCGAAACAAAACCAACCAACAAAAAAAACCCGACAACCCGGAAGTGAGGAGTGTGCACGGATGCTGAATGTTTGGGAGTGAGAGGATGATGAGTGAGTGAGGCTTGAAAGCAAACCACGCGCAGAATCCCGCCACGGCAGCGGCGCTGCTCGCGAGCTGAGCACTGACTTGCAGCCAAAGCCTCGGCCTCCTCGCTCGTCTTCTTGCAGTGGGAGCCCCGGGCTCTGCTCGGCGATGGCAGCCCCTTCTGACAGCGTGGGGTCGGCGTCCCTGGGCTGCTGAGCAGAGAGGAAAAGAGAGAGAGGAGAAAGAGATGGGAGCCAACCTCGGTAAAACCTCGGCCGCGCGATGCTGTCGGCGCACGGGATGCGAGGAGAGGGGTGAAGGATTTTTTGGGTCTAAGAGTGAGTGTGTGTGAGTGAGGAGGTGTCTCCACGTTTCTCGACTTCGAGTCATTGCAGTTGATCTCTTTTGTTTTTTTCCCCCAGAAAGAAAATAGAAACAAACACGGGGTTAGCTGTCGCATTTCATAAACTAACCGAAGTTTTCAGTCTACTGATGCAGCGTAAGAGATGTTAAAAGGAGAGAAAAAAAAAAAGGAAAAAAAAAAGAAAAAAAAAAGGAAAAAAAAAATAAAAATAAAAAGGAAAGTCGCTCCTTTAGGGCTTTTAATTTTGGGGCAACACTGACGAATGTTCAGAGCTCCCGTTCCGAGTGATGCTTTTCATGATCTCGTTTCATCCAAGCGCCTTTCCTTCCTTAATATTGTTCAACTGTGAATGTAGAAATGGGGGAAACAAAACACAAACAAACGAGCAAACTCAAAACTCTTGCATTAGAGGGTGTAGAATGAATGGTCACACAGGATTTCAGGCTTACAACTCGAATCCAGGCCTCAAGTGCTCTGAATTGGCAGCGAGAACGCAAAGGGAAAGAGCTCTCCTGACTTTGTACTGTAGCAGCCCCAACACCCACCGAAATTTTGTGCCAAAGAGTTGAAAAACAAACAAACAAAAACAACAAAACAAAATGAAAACTTCAGGTCATATTTTGGAATTGCAAAAAAATGAGGATAAATTTCAGTGTTCAAACGTCAATCTGATAAAATGCCATTTGGAAACTGCTCGGCCTTTCGTGCTCTTTATTTAATCAGATCGGATGCGGTTTTGGTCTCTTGCTGCACTAAAAACAAAAAAAAAAAGGAAGAAATAAATTTATATAAGATATATATATACTGACTTGAGCTTACACAGACGGCACTTGTAAAAGGTTCTATTTTTCCACTGCAGTTGAAGATGAATAAAATGGTGTCAAACATTCCCCAAAACTTCCTTTTTTTGTATTCTTGGTCTTTCCAGTGAAAGGGGAACCTGTGAACCATGTATTTTTTTTGGTTAATAGAGTCGTGACGACGGAACTGAGGGGCGAATCCCAACCCAACTGTGGCTGCTCGCTGCTCCCCTGCTCACCCCATGTCTTATTGCCACAAGAAGGATCAGAATCTCCCTTCCTCTCCAGCCAGGCTCCTGCTTTGGAGGAATCCCTCGCTCATCCCAAAGCAATGAGCCGCAGGGATGGAGAGGTGCAGGGCGCCAGCTGCTTCATTTTTACCCATGCAGCCCCCGATGCTGCCAGCACCCCAACCTGCAGCCAAAACCTCTTTTGTGGGAGGGAGGCACAAAACCTCACTGCTGTCTTATTTTGCAGCGAGCAGCCGGCGATCTGCGTCGTTTCCCCCCCCCCCCAGTTTCCTCTCTCCCCAATCTGATCCTTGGCGCCCGCAGCTCTCATACAGGGTATCAGATACGTGCCTTCCAGTGCTGGGTTCAGATCGCAGTCCCAAGTGCCGACTTTGAACCAGTGTACAAAACCTGAGCCGAGCTCCCAGGCCGCTGAGGTGAGGAGCAGCGAGAGGCCCTGGGCCACGAGCTCGAGCGATGCCTTTGCTTTTTATTTCGGTTCTTGAGGCGGGGTGGGATTTCCTAAGGGGAAAAAGAATAATAATAATAAATAAATTAAAAAAAAACGGGAAAAAAGAAAAAAAAGCCATTCCTGAAGTTGGGGAGGGGGCGTGGAGGGGAGTAATCTGATCATTCCTCAGTGCTACCTGTTTCTGTCCTGTGTGGCTGTTCAGCTGTAGACAGCAGGAGAATAAAGTACACTGAGACAGTAGTGGAAACGAACTCGTGTCCGTTGTGTCTGTGTGGGGCTGCGTGGGGTTCGGCGGTTGGCTGTGATGAGAGGTGGCTGCTGGCTCCTCCAGGGGCTGAGCATCCAGCCTGCGTCCTTTGGGGGGGTCAGCACAGCCCCCAGCCTCGGCGTTTTGCCCCCAGCTGGTTGATACCACAGGGGAAGGAGAACAGCAGCACCCAACGTGCCCCCCGTCCTCCCCAGCCTCTTACCTTCGTTCTGTTTCTCACTCACAGCAGCTCTTTTGGCTTCATCCCATCCATTTCTCAGCTCTTTGGCTCCCGTCCACCTTCAGCCATCAACCCGTGCCCTGCTGCAGTGTCGCACCGGCGCTCCTCCCACTGCCTGCTGCTCATCACGGTCGCACGGCACCCATCTCCGAACCCAGGGGTACGGCTGATTGATTTACTGCTCTCCCTTGTTTCCAGCACTTCTTAGGGAGCTGCTGCCCTCCCCACCCCCCCCCCCCCAACACGCAGACCCCCCCCCGAGCTCTGAGACGTGTGGGTGTGCGGCCACGCTTCCGTCTGCGGAGAGGGAGGTGATGGAGCTGTGTCAGCTGCTGTGTGTGCTGGGGATGGGGACATGGCCACGGGGGGCTGGGCTGGGCCTCCGTGTGGGGCTGGGGGCTGCGGGCCTGGGCCTCCATGTGAGGCTGGGCCTCCATGTGGGGCTGGGCCTTGTGCCAGGCTTCAGTGTATGCCTTGGGGACATGGCCTGGGCCTCAGGGGGGGAGCTGGGCTTCCATGTGGGACTGGGCCTTGGGGCCAGGCCTCAATGTGGGATTTGGGGACAGGGCCTGAGCCACAGGGTGAGGCCTCAGGGAAGGGAGATGGGCCTTGGAGCTGGGGTTGGACCTCAGGCAGGGCTTGGCCCCCAGGCCAGAGCTAGGCCTCAGGGCTGGACTCTGCCTCAGGGCCAGGAGCTGAGCCTCGGTGTGGGGCTGGTTAGAAGCTGGGCCCCGCTCTGGGGCCGGGCCTTGGTGCAGGGTCAGCCATGGGCCCTGCAGGGAGCAGAGCGGTGCTCAGCCTTCTGCTCCCAGAGATGCAACCCACAGCCCCACATTGCAGCACGGGACTGGTGGCTGCCTTATGAAGCTGCCTTGTTCCTGGGCTGAACGGTTTTTCATTTTCCAGCGTGTAGCAGTGGTGCATTTCCTCACGTCAGGGATGGTGGGCACGGGAGGAAACGGCGCTGCCGTCAGCTGCCGAGGAGCGGCTTCCTGCCACAGAGTGGGATGGGAAGCAGCCGTGCTGCGGAACCTGGGCCCTGCTCTGCCGGGTTGGGAGAAACAGCTGTGGGCACCCAGTGCTGAGCAGGGGTGGATCTGCGAGGGCAGCGGAGGGCTGTGGTGTCTTCCCAAGGCGCTGTGAGGGCGTCACCCCTCGCCTGCCCCCACCGGAGGCAGCACGGACGCTACGGAGCTGCACTGATGGAGACCCAGCACTGCCTTTCTCAGTGCTGCAGCAGCTTGCTGCATGCATGGATGCATCTTACAGCTGGAGCTACGGCGGTTCGGAACCATCCAGTGCAGCTCCTGAGCCACCCTCGGACATCACTTCCACAGGGACACCAGCGAGGCTCCGATCCCAGCTCTGTGCTGAGCAGAGCAGACGGAGCTCCATGCTCTGCTTCCACTCCAGGGCCGCTCTGCAGCCAGCACAGATCAACCGAGTGGAAAACGATCCACGGCTTTCCGCTGTCAGCGGCCGCGCGGCAGGGCGATTAGGTTCTGTGCGCGAGGATGCATCTGCACTGGCCTAACCTCACTGCTCAAAATAGCACTTCTCCCAGCGTGGCTGCGGCTGACAGCGTAAATCCAGCTTCATGTTCCTGCGCTGGCGTGGTGCAAGCGAGCAGAAAGCGAGGGGAGAGGCGGCTGCTCAGCCCCATCCCAGCGCCCAGGTGGGGTTGGAGGCCCCTGCAGCCCCCACCTCCCTCCTCTGCGCGCACACGGGTGAGGACGCGCTGTTTTTCTTTGTGTCAAAATTAACTTACGACCTGATGGAAAACCTGAATTTGCACTTCAAAGCGCTTTGCAGCAATCTGTGAGCGTGAGCAAGAGCCGGAGCTGATGCTCGGCATTTTTTCCAGGCCCCGTTTATGGCGCAGCCCGGCCCTGTGCCCCCGCTGCCCCTTTGCTCCGTGCCCACCGCCGGTCCCTCTTCTCTTGGCCGTGCTCCACCCTCCAAGCAGCTCCCAGCCCCGATGTTGTTGGCTCTGAAGTGCCCAGCACCGTGCTCAGATCTGCCTTCAGCCATGAGGCTCTTGCTCCGTCACCCCCCCCAAGACCCTCTGATGCAGGGCGGGGGTCCGGCCGTGTGCCAGCAGCTCCCCTCCTGCGCCGGCAGCCAAACTCCGAGTGACGTCTGCTGAATCACCGCCGCTCCGGCACGTCGCCATCCCAGCAATGATGCAGCTGCTCTATACATAGCCTGGGGGTCTGCATCGGGGTGTGGGGCCGGACCTGCAGCGCTGCCTATGCCAGGTGCTCCCTGTGGGGCCGGAGCTGCACGCTCAGCCTGAACTCCACGCTGTCCTCGCATCAACGCCTCTCCCTCAGCCCGGCATGAGCTGCGGCAGATGGTGGCGATGGGGATCGCTCTGTGCTGACATCTCCATCTTTCCTCCGTTGCAAGCACCTGAACGGGAGTGAAGTCAACCAAGTCATGAGCTGGGATGCAGCTCCTGGGCTCCATCTCCCACCTGGGGTCATGGGATGAAGCCTCGATGGGGATGCGCGTGTCTTTGGGGGCAGTGCCAGGGCTCTGTCTGTGCAGTGCTGTCTGTCTGTCCGTGCAG